TTTTGAGAGGTTTTTGCTATAGGGCGCATGCACTCGCCAGAAAGACGGAGAGAGACAGAAAGCAAGAAATCACCCCCTAGGGGGATGGCCACACCGCAATCCCTTCTCCTCCATTCTCCTCTCGGAATCTTGGGCACGCACGCACACGCGCCTGGCGTGAGTTTAAGCCACTGGGTCCAGGACTCAAACTGTGGTCGACTACATGGGAGTCCAGCGACATAGCTATTACACCAACTGCTGGTCCCCCCGTGTTCCTCTCTTAGCAGGGAAGAAAGAAACCCAGAGATAAGAGTTCATTTAGTCACAGGTTTGGAGGGAGCTAATCCTAAAAACACTCAGAGACTTCTCGAGTAGGGTGAACCGCAGAGGGTGGCCTTCAGGGTTCCTTTGGTGACTCTCCCCTAGTGCAGCCTCTGGAGAAACTCCCAGAGGACAATGAAGCCTCCTCTGCCCACCTTCCTTTCTGCACTGGGCAGAAGCAGGCTCCCTCCTAGAGCTGGAGGCCTCAGGACCTCTGACTACCAGGCCTGCTTGGCCTCACCCAATCACACCTCCTTGGCACGAGGCCATAGACTCAGGTCAGGAGAACCCGGCTGACTTTGCCTCCTTCATGACCTCCACCGGCTACACCTGACAGTCCTCTGCTCACCACAGACAACAGGATGGCCCTCCTCCATGACCTCATAGAGCAATGGAGAGGCCAGGAACCACTGGGTGTGCCCTTCCCAGAACCTGCCCAGTCACCAGGACACCCGGTCCACCTCCCGCAGCCTTCACCCTGGGACAGCTCCCACACTTTCATTCCTCTTTCCTCTCTCATTTCTCTCCCAGGGTCCCAGCTGGCATAGCAGGTGTTACAGAGCAGGCGTGGGACAAATTAGGCTGAGATTAGTCTTTTGTTTTATGGGTTGTGGACATGCCTTTTCTTAAAGTAATCCTGGGTCCACTGGGGCCTTCATAAAGCCGCCCTCCCCCCCTGCCCCCACCCCGTGGCACTGGGCCAGCCTCTGAGCAGCTTGGGTGTGGGGACTCATGCCATTAAAGCCACTTACAAGGCAAGACTGGACTTGTCCCCAAGTAACTACTGGGCTTCTTGCGGTCCATGGGGCCCCAGATGGGGCTCTCTGAGCATCAGGTATATATCTTTATTTGCTGCCTTGTTTAAATTCTACACTTCAACCTTCCCTTCCCCCTCCACCCCCTTTATTTACTGCCAGCTAATTCCAGGGCGATGAAAATTTAGACAATTCAGTCAAGGAAAACATTTACACGACCCATAATTCCATCAGCCACAGATAACACATGTTTACATTTGGGTGAACATCCTTCCAGACTCTTCTATGCAAATTGTCTTAATCCACTTGGGCTGCTATAACAAAATGGCATAGGCTGGGTGGTTGTTAACAGTAGAAACTTATTTCCCACTGTTCTGGAGTCTGGGAAGTTCAAAATCAAGGTGCCAGCAGATCTGGCATCTGGCAAGGGCCCACTTCCTTTTTCATAAAAGGTCATCTTCTCCCTGTGTACTACATGGTGGAAGGGGCAAGGGTGCTCTCTGGGATCCCTTTGGTAGGACACTAATCCCATTCCCCAAGGCCTCCACCCTCATGACCTCATCACCTCTCATAGGCTCTACCTCCTCATACCATCACTTTGGGGTCAGGTTTTAACATACGCACTCCGGGAACACAAAGCTTCGGTCTATAGCCCAACTGTACGTCCGCAAAGACAGAATCAAGAGGTGACATCTTGACTTTCCTCCCAACAGAACATCTCCATCCGGAGTGTGGAAGGAGAGGTATATTGTGCCAAATCAGGCAGGAAATTTGCCGGCCAGATCCGGGAGAAGTTCATTATTTCGGACTGGAGATTCGTCCTGTCTGGATCATACAGGTGAGCAGGATTCATCTCCTGTCAAGGCCTCATGGAGGCTCAGGGCTGAGCGTGGTGCAGACCAGCCTCAGCCCTCAAACACACACCCACCAGTAGCTCCCCAAAGCTCCCCCGGAGCTCAGAGCTGGAGCAGGAGGCAGGAAATCTGGGCTCTTCCTGGGAGGCCTTCATTCCTTGACCACCAACAAGGGTAGTTGCTTTGATGGTAAAATAGGACGCAGAATCCCCCGATTGCCCCCTTAGAGCTCTGATCCGAGATCGTAAAGCCTTCCTATCCTGTGCGTGTGTGCGTGTGCGCGCCTCATCTTAGCTTTTAAAATGTGTATTCTTTTAATAAAATAATATATTCTTTGAATTTAATAGAATTGAACCCATTTATAGAGGTCTATTGATAATAGTTTATCCAAAGTGTGCAACTCGGCTCCTTTTTAGCATAGTTACAATGCTGTGTAACTATCACCACAGCCAACTTTAACACATTATCATTAAAGCCAGAACAAGAACAGCATTCTTGCTGGAATTATCCCTTAGCACCTACTGTCCATTTCCCCCAGAACCAGCAACTCTATACATTTCCTGTTCTAGACATTTCCTATAAACGGAATTCTATCCTATGTGGTCCTCTGTGACTAGCCTCTCTCATTTAGCACGATGTTCTCAAGGTTTATACCATTGCAGGGGCACACAGGGTAAACATCCCCAGTCCAGAAATCTAGCAACTGAAATGCTCCCAAGTTCAAAACGTTTTGAGTGCTGGCATAATCCCACAGTAGAAAGTTCCACAGCTGACCTCATGGGATGGGCCACAGTCAAAACAGTGCAGTACAAAAATACTCTATGAAATTACCTTCGGGCCATGTATACACAGTGTACGCGAAACATAAATGAATGTGGTGTTTAGAGTTGGCTCCCATCCCCCAAATTTCTCAGTATGTATATATAAATATTCCAGAATCGAAAAAAAAAAAATCCAAAATCTGAAACTCTTTAGCGACCAAGCATTTGGGATAAAGGATACCCAACCTGTATCACATTCTGTTTACCCAGTCATCCGTGGATGGACGTAGGGTTGTTTCCACTCTTTGGCTGTTCTGAATAACACCGCTGGGAAGGGTCGTGTGATGTTCGGCATAGACGTGTGTTTCCGGTTCTCCTGAGAGCCCGTGTGCCTCGCGGTGGAGTGGCAGGCTGCCACGGTAAATCTATGTGGGATCATTTGAGGAGCTGCCAGACTCCTATTCAGACATGGTCATGCTATTTTAAATTCCCAGCAGCAGTACGTGAGGGTGCCAGCTTCTCTGACCCTCCTCATACTCGTTATTGCCTGCCATTTTTATTATAGCTGTCTTTGGGGGGCGGTATGAAGTGGTATCTTAGGGTTTTTATTTGCATTTGCCTGATGACTAAGAACAATGAGTTTTGGCTTGGCCCTGTAACCTAGTGGTTAAGCGAGCAGGATCGCATATGGTTGATCATGGTTCAGATCTTGGCCTTGGTGGCTTGAAAAACACCGGACATTTCTCCGTGTGTTCCCCAAATCCTGATGGGATGGGGAAATGGAGGCGATGGGATTGCATTGTGACCATGCCCCGTGGGGGGCACTTTCTCCTTCTCGATCTCCCGCTCTGGTGAATGCATGAGACTTCTGGCAATTTAAAACAAAACAAAAAAAAAAAAAAAAAAGAATGCCGTTGAGGTCTGGTGCTTGCTGGCCCTTTGTGTATCTTTTTTGGAGTAATGACTTTCAGAGTCGATTTGTTTTGAAACACTCACGACAGGACTTCTGCACCCAGATGACTGGCCTTCTGCTTACTTCGCCCATGCCGCCTTGCTAGGAACCTCTCAGGACTTGCCTTCGGAGCCACAGGATATTCTTTTACATGTCCTCAGTGCTGGCGCTGGGAAAGGAATTCGACAGTGGGCCCTGGGGAGAGAGGACAGGAGAGAGAGCAACCAGACATTGTGAGAAGGTAGTAAGTGTGACAGAGGGAGCAGAGGGGACAGCTGGTTGCATTCTTCTCGCCCTCTTCACCGCAAACACATAGCAGCGACCACTGAAGTATGAGCAAAGGGCCAGGTGGTGGCGCAGTGGTGATGCAGCTGGACCCGCATGGAAAAGGTTATAGGTTCGCATCCCGGGACTTTCTAGAAAGACTGAGTGCACATGTATGTGTGCCCCGATCAGGCTGGCTGAGACTGGGGTAGCCCGTGTTTGGGGCGCCTGTCTCTCTATGTCTCTCTCTCTCATGGAAAAAATAACTAAATGGACATTTAAAAAAAAAAAGTCTATGAACAGAAGGACAAGACTGAGAATGACCTGGGGGTCAGGGCGGGCGTCCAGCACTCTCCCCACCTGAGACACCATTATTAAGTCAGGTGGAGAGGCCAGTTGGTAGCATGACGGTTAAGGCGACTGAAATCCACTAGGCCGGTTCAAGTCCTGGACTTGGTGGCTTTAAAAATACACAGGATCAGGACCAGCAGTTAGCGAAATGACTATGTCGCTGGATTCCCATGTAGTCGACCACGTTCAAGTCCCAGACCCGGTGGCTTAAACTCACGCCAGGTGCGTGTGCATGTGTGCCCAAGATCCCGAGAAGAGAATAGAAGAGAAGTGATTGTGGCGTGGCCATCCCCCCTGGGGGGTGATTTCTCGCTTTCTGTCTCTCTGTCTGTCTCTGTCTTTCTGGTGAGCGCACACACCCTATAGCAAAAACCTCTCCAAAAACAAAACAAAACAACAACAACAACAAAAACTGCAGTTCAAAAATACTACATAAAATTACCTTCAGACTACATGTTTGAGCTGTATACAAGACAACTGAATTTTGCGTTGAGACTTAGATCCTTTCTCCAAGATATCTTATTGTGTATATTCAGATATCCAAAAATTCAAAAAATATCTGAAATCGAAAGACATATTTGATCTCAAGCATTTTGGGTAAGGAATACTCAGCCTCCACTCTGTTCCATTTTATGTCTGAACGATGATGTTCCACTGTATGGACATACCACAACTCATTTCCACCATTTGGTGATTGTGAATAGCAGCTAAATCTTGCAAAACTCTTGAAACCTCAATCCTAGGCATGCACTCTCCTCCAGGAACTCAGGCTTTGCATTTCTAGAGAGAAGGAGGAGGTTGAGTTGATGGCTAGAAGAACTGAGTTTTATTGGAACTGGGGAAAGAAATTAAAGAACTGTGCTCTGAGCTTCATCCCTCCATCAGCCCGCAAAGCATAATCCACTTTAAAATGATCTGAACTTCAATCAATCAAAATTTGGATTTTTTTTGGGACCAACAGAGGGCATAATGGTTACATTGCTGGACTCCCACATAGTCGACTGTGGTTCGAGTCCCGGACCCGGTGGCTTAAAACTCATGCCGGGCACATGTGCATGCATGCATGCCCAAAATCCAGAGAGGAGAATGGAGGAGAAGGGATTGCAGTATGGCCATCTTTCCTGAGGGGTGATTTCTCACTTTCTGTCTCTCTGTCTCTTTGCCTCTCCGGTGAGCACACACGCCCTATAGCAAAAATCTCTCCAAACAAATTTTGGGAGGACATGTTTTTAAAAACATGTGCCTGTTCATAACCTCTTATTTAGAAGTCCCCGCCCTAGAGTTAAGATTAGGTCATTATTTTTGAGGAAATTTGCACCCTTTCAGTTACACCCCAGCTACATTTCACACGATGGTGGGGCGGTAACTCCTGGAAAGAAGAAGAAGGCTTGAGACACAACTATCTGGAGCCGTGGTAAGAATTGATGGGAAGATAAAGGTGGAGAAACAAGTTCTAGTCTCTGTGCGTGTAATGAAAACCACTGGAGGAGCTGAGACAACTTGAGCCTAAGGAAGATTTCAGGGAGCTCAGAAATGAGCCTGCGCGGGGAGCAGTCTGCTTCCTGCCTCTACTGATCTGCCTCAGACACTAGTAGGGGAAGCCGAAATCCACCCTGAGATAAAGTTGTCTTCAGCACAATAAGGAAAACAGACTATGTTTACCGTCAGCTTCCCAAAATGCAAATCATTACACCCTTTGATACCAAAATTGGCATGGTTTTCACCTTTGGGCAGAACAAAAGCATTTTATATATTATGCTTTTCCCCAGAAGAACAAGAATTTGAACTTGATAGTTCATGTCCCTATTCTTTTTCTTTTTTTAAGAATTATTTATTTTGTTTTATTTTATTTATTATTATTATTTGTTAACTTGCTATAGGGCATTTGTGCTCACCAGAGAGAGGCAGAGGGAAAGTGAGAAAGTTAGTCTCCAGGTCCAGGACTCAAACTGCAGTCCACCATGTCGAAGTCCACCACCTTTACCACCGTGCCACTCACTGGCCCCATATTCCAGTTCTTAACTGTGTACCCTGCATCTCTCCGGGCCTGTTTCCTCATCAGGACAAAATGAAAAATAATAAAACTCTGTAAGGTTGTTGTGAGGGTTAAGAACATGGGCAAATCCTTAGCCACGCTAACTTACTTATGGGATACACTCAGAAAACGTTACTCAAGTGTGGACTGGTGCAGCAGGTGGCATGGTGGTTAAGGCAGTGGATTCCCACATGACCAAACTGTGGTTCAGGTCCTAGATCCAGCGGTTGAAAACCACACTGGGCATATGTGTGTGTGTGTGTGTGTGTGTGTGTGTGTACCCAAAATCCAAAGAGGAGAATGAAGGACAAAGAATTGTGCCATGGCCATCCCTCCTGAAGGGTAACTTCTCACTTTCCCTTTCTCCGTCTCTTTTAGACAAATGTACACACCCTATTGCAAAAACAAAACAAAACAAAAGAGTGGATTGTTGCTTACGACATTGGCATTACTTATACTTTCAAATTTATTATTCTTTTTTTACAGTTTACTTACGTATTTCTTACACTGAGAGTTGGGGGGGACACCCCCAACAGGGTCTTCATCCTGCGATCCACCCCTGGCCTCAGCCAGCCAGGATCACAGACACATGCCTGGCGTGCACCAGGAGGTCTGGGGACA